GATTATTTCTAACCTTAGGGATGAAGTATGAAAGGATGAATTGTGAAGAGTATTGATAAACAGAAAAATAATGAGTCGCATTATATTGGAATATAAATTACTTTATATAATAGTTACGAACGGAAAAATATGTCCAGGGTAGCCTAGTGGACATGACATCTACCCGGTTAGCGGAACACTGTGGGTTCGATTCCTATCCCTGGACACTTTATTTTTCCGTTATCATTACCCTTCACAATTCATCCTTTCATACTTCATCCCTAAGGTTAGAAATAATCGTTATTTCTCCTTTAAATAAATTTTGATTTTCGTTCAAAAGAAACATTTGCGGGATAATTGTCAAATGCCGTTCTACAATCATAAGCCGCATTATAATTTATTAGAGATACAAGTACTACTGGTAAAGATTATTTATTTATTATTAATACCTTATTTAACATTGTTTTACTCATGGATATATACTCGCTCTCTCAGGAATCGTCCTAATTGTGTTTATCCTAATTGGAAGTTCGGATAATTGGAGGATTGTTGTTGCTGAACATTTCTGGAAGTCAATGACAATGGAATTAGTTATCGATTATAGGTGACAAATCTATTTTAATATATAAATAATATATTGTTACGTCATACCCAGACGCTGTTCGTGTTCTTTGTCTAATCAGGATGCCACAAAGATGTGGGTTCGTAAGGAATGCAGCAAACGTTATCTCTTTATTATACGTCACCCTGAACAGAAAGAGTATAATCCGTATCAGCCACTGAGTAGTGCTCCCAGTTTTAATGATAGAAGCATTCTACTTCACCCAGTCATGATGGTTGTCAAACAGACACCATCAAGGGTCACAACTTGATATCCTAATATGATTGAGTGGGGATAAGAAAGAAGAAGAAGAGGATCTGTCTTCAACCTCCCCGTCTGAAGGATCTTTGGCGCCGTGGATATCACTCTTGTGAAACGTTCACGTCCACACTGTACACGTCCAGCCTGGGCTACACCGCCTTGTAGGTCGCTCCGATGTCAGATTCTCCTGGCACCGTCTTGCAGGATCTTCTACAGGCCTGGAGGCAACTCGCTGCGTCTTCTGTCACTGCCCAAAAGTGTCCAAAACTGTCCGTTCTCCCTCACACTGGAATGCCATTTTTGGCGCCTGTTCTCCTCACACATGGAGCATCCCCCGCAGCTAGAGTCCACCCATCTTTCCCAACCTTACTCTAGAATCTTAGCTTCTTGGACAGCTTGTCATCCCTTTTACAATACTGACGCGCGCAGAGATAATCACTATATTTTAAATTCAAGGGTAAAGTTAAACTAAAGAACAACTTCAATTATTTGAAATTCCAAATAACAGAATGAGGAGAAATGAATTCAAAGTTATTTCGTCTTATAATGAGGTTGGCAATGATTTTAATTCTTAAAAATATCTTAAAGAGTTTTTTAAACAACCTCTTTATCAACCAAATACTCAGAGAATATTAAAAAATAAAAAAATAATATCCTGACCGCTCATATGATCATTTTATATGAGAGAGCGCCATCTAGGGGAATAAAAATAAACTAAACGTGTATCCAATTTTATTTCTTTCCTTATTGATATACAAAAAATATTAATGCAACAAAATTAACATATTTTAAATATCCCAGCTAGATGGCTATAAAAGGCGAAAAGAAAAACTTCTATAGGCGTAGCTTTGTAGGGAATCATATCATTTTATTTCTTATAATTTTAAATCATATTATTTCATTTCATATAATTTTATTTCTTATTACTTTAAATCAATAATTGTAAATACCAAAATAAAAAACAAAAGCTTAATTCTAAAAAATAATATCATCATCAATTCTCATGTTATTGTTGTAGACGAAGAACACGCTTGTTTTCGTATAAAAACGATAATAAAATTACTAGCTAAATTTAATGTGATTTAGTAATTTATTCTTGAATTATAAATATATTTTAACACTCCTGCAGCCACCCCTACAGCTCTCACATGACGGGACGGCACGATGCGCTGTTCCCCAAAACTGGCTCCATCTTCCGTGGAAGAAGCGAACCATTTGTTAGAAACGTTTATTTAACTTATTCCATAATATTTGGCCAACCTAATTTCTTGTTAAATCAAGAAAAGCCAACCACTTACACGTTTCAGTCTGTTTATCCCTCGTTGTGCAGAATGTACTTCAACGACCAAAAAGTTTATTTCAGAGAATATTATAAGAAAAACGCCAGAATTGCTCAGCAACACTGTCCAATAAACACGTTTCTCCAATATCGATTTTTATCAGACCTTTTATTGTTTTCTTTTTACGAAATTATTGTGAACAAAATATATATTCCAGTGTTTTCAATAATAATATTATTATTGCAAAGTATTTTCTCGAAGCCCATGTAGGTTAGAAAATTGTTTTGGATTTCAAAATAACTCTTTAAAATAAACAATACAAAAGTGAGGAAAAAAATATTCTATGAATAAAAAATATATTCTGGGAATTTTTCAAAACGTATTTTGGCAGCTTTTTTTTTATATATAGAAACTGCAATAACATGTATTTATTCCGAATTTTTTTGTCGTTCTTGAGGGAAAAAAGATTTCAAGGTTTTAATTTAATTTGTTTTTCTTTTATATATTAACAGTTTTTCTCATTTTTATATTGATTTTTTCAAATATAAATAGATTTATAAGTTAAAACAATCAATTTATATAGTTTTTGCTCTGCTTACAGTAATTTTGTATTTTATTGAGACTTTGAATATTATATTTTGATTGTAAAAAAAGTTATATATAATGTATAAGAGTTATATATATATATATATAAATGAATGTATGTGTGTGAGTCCTTTATGCCTGACAAACCACTCATTGGAACGCCATGAAACTTTGGGAAGTTATTTAGTATAGTACTGGGAAGGTTTCTAGCAAATACAATTTTTGAAATAACTTTTCGCCTAAAAATAATCAAGATAAATATTCTAATTTATCTGTTATAATTCAACAATCTGCTCTAAATATTATCATGATGATACGATGATTTTGTAATGTAGAAAATTAGGAAAGACAAAATTCAGGATGACACGGCAATTTATTTGAGACAAGAATAATGATACAATTCCAAGGCAATATACTATTCCTTTATCTTCCAATTACCGAGGGAACCAATTAATATTGATTTTATTCAACTTATCGAGTATTTTTCAAGGGACCGGGAAAAAATGTTCACTTTATCGAGAGATTCGTTAGACAAACCTTTACTCGGGTAAAACCCGGGCGAAGCCGGGTACATCCGCTAGTTTTAAATATATTTGTTTTTCATTACACTCATGGACAAATTGATGCCCCCGGTCGTCTGTTTTTTTTTTTTTTTTAGGAGATAAGAAATGTTTTTCATACTTGGTTATCACACACATATACAGCTTTATTAAGACAACCGGTCGTATATAGATTCACCGCAGGAAGGAAACACAGATAGAACTCTTATATTCCAGGCAGTACAGAACCCAACAACAGCCTCCAGGTCGGACCCATGTCCAGTGGCCACAGATTCCATCGTGCATACGTCAAGGTTGTGTCTTCAATAAAGGTTATCGTATATCAAATATTTCAGAGTTATTGTGTGTGTCTGAATTAAGTGATATGTGTGATCATAATATAATAAAAATAAAGGAGGCATTTCCTGACCACGAGCACATGTGCTTTTTAGATGGCAGAGCGCCATCTAGTCGAGTAAAAATAAACTAAACGTTTATTCAACTTGCTCCGTGATATTTGGCCAACCCAATTTCTTGATAAATCAAGAAAAATTTTAAAATCAACACCCCACCCACTAATCTTTTATTTTTTCTATTGTTTTTTTTTTCATAATATATTAAATATATAAAGTTTAGCAAATCAATAAGCAATCCAGGGGCAGGTCTTTTTTAACCACTCTTTATTTCTCAAACTTTCGGGCCAATATTCCCTTCAACAGGAGACCTAGAAGTACCCTGTTAAAGGACATATTGGCCCAAAAGCTTGGGTACTATCATTGGGCTGCTTATTGAGTTTGTCAAATTGTAAAGGTATGGATGAATAACGTAAAGATAGAAGCTGCCTGGACGGCATTCATATTTATTTCAAAAATAGACACTTCGGCCAGTTAAAGTGTTATTTTCTCAACGTCTCAACAAAATTCTTTTGTCTTCTTCTTTCTTCTTTCTTATCTACACTCAATCATATTTGGGCATCAAGTTGTGACCCTTGATGGTATCTATAAATGACTGAATAAAGTAGATTGCGTCTGACTTTGTCATTAAGACTGGGAGCACTACTCAGTGGCAGGTGACTTAGCTCCAAAAGAAATGGCCGCCCCTGACATGAGGAACAGACGCCATGTGCAGCCGCTCCTAACATGGAGTACAAACACTGCTCATCCTGTATCCCTGGATCAGGAGCCCTTACAGGGTACTATCAGCCGGGCCAGCTAAGCCCAGGTTTTTTAGTGAGCTTGTTACTGCTCCCCCTCCTCCTTTTTCATCCGGGCTTGGGACCGGCAAAAGCGGAGTTACTGTCTTCGTTATGAGAAATAAATAAAAATAAAGCATTTTAATACCTCAGGACAAGATCAAGATTTTTGACGAGTTTAATATTTGTTTTTGACTTGTGTTTTATATGTTGTACTAAATTATAAAAATTGAATGAGAACGCCCTTTCAATTTCAGAACAATTTGTAACGCTTTGTCAAATGCTTTATTTTTATTTCTCCAGACGAAGACAAAAGATTTTTGTTGAAACGTTGAGAAAAAAGTTGAAACTTTAATTGACCGAAGTGTCTATTTTTTTTAAGAGATGAGAATATGTATTAAATATGTAATAAATAAATGCTGAAGAACGAAGTTTGACAATTATCCCGCAAATGTTTCTTTTGAACGAAAAATCGAAATTTATTTTAAGGAGAAATAACCATTATTTCTAACCTTAGTATGAAAGGATTAATTGTGAAGAGTAATGATAAACGGAAAAATAAAGTGTTCAGGGATGGGAATCGAACCCACAGTGTTCCGCTTACCGGGGAGATGCCATGTCCACTAGGCAACACTGGACATATTCCTCCGTTCATTGTATTATAAATAAATGCTGATATGTAAATTCCCATTTCATGAATGCTGAGGTTGTGATGCTGAGTTGAGCAGCCATGATTTGAAAAGTCAATTATAGAACAGGGGCTTACAATTTAGGAGGACTTCACAAATCTTGGAGATGGAGGGTCTTCTAGCCATGTGGCTGAAGCTCAGACCGCTGCGACTCATCCAACCGTCCCTATGTGGCCCAACTGTCCCCCGCCCCCTCTACTTACTCCCTATAATTTGGACGCACGCCTCCCCCATGTGTCCGAGGGACCTGTAATATACGGTGACATCTAAATGGAATGTTTAGCCTAGATTTACTCTCTCTGTGGCCATGATCGTTTAAAATTTTATATCATATTCAATCAAATACATAATTGTATCATTATCATTGTCTTTTATTATCCCATTTTATAATTATACAAGGTCATGGAGACTAAATTTATTATGATGCATAGCGCGCCATCTGTTATGAATATTCGAAACTATTATAGGCGCGTATGATTATTTTGAAAATTAAACAATTTCTACTGTCCTTACTGCAATGAGGCCCTACCCTCAATTTTTTTTTCATTGCAGTAAGGAAAGTTGAAATTGTTTAATGTTCAAAAGAATCATACACGTTTATAATAGTTTCGAATATACTAAATGCATTCCATAGATCTCCATGATGGGGAGCTGCTGTCGTTGGTTGGCTATCCACCACATGGACAGTCGTACTTTGTCCCCAATTGTCAACTTCCATGATGTCTCCATGATGGGGAGCTGTTGTCGTTGGTTGGCTATCTACCACATGGACAGTCAAACTTTGTCCCCAATTGTCAACTTCCATGATGTCTCCATGATGGGGAGCTGTTGTCGTTGGTTGGCTATCTACCACATGGACAGTCGTACTTTGTCCCCAATTGTCAACTTCCATGATGTCTCCATGATGGGGTGCTACTGTCGTTGGTTGGCTATCTACCACATGGACAGTCAGACTTTGTCCCCAATTGTCAACTTCCATGATGTCTCCATGATGGGGAGCTACTGTCGTTGGTTGGCTATCTACCACATGGACAGTCGTACTTTGTCCCCAATTGTCAACTTCCATGATGTCTCCATGATAGGGAGCTGCTGTCGTTGGTTGGCTATCTACCACATGGACAGTCAGACTTTGTCCCCAATTGTCAACTTCCATGATGTCTCCATGATGGGGAGCTGTTGTCGTTGGTTGGCTATCTACCACATGGACAGTCAGACTTTGTCCCCAATTGTCAACTTCCATGATGTCTCCATGATGGGGAGCTGCTGTCGTTGGTTGGCTATCCACCACATGGACAGTCAGACTTTGTCCCCAATTGTCAACTTCCATGATGTCTCCATGATGGGGAGCTGCTGTCGTTGGTTGGCTATCTACCACATGGACAGTCGTACTTTGTCCCCAATTGTCAACTTCCATGATGTCTCCATGATGGGGAGCTGCTGTCGTTGGTTGGCTATCTACCACATGAACAGTCGTACTTTGTCCCCAATTGTCAACTTCCATGATGTCTCCATGATGGGGAGCTGCTGTCGTTGGTTGGCTATCTACCACATGGACAGTCGTACTTTGTCCCCAATTGTCAACTTCCATGATGTCTCCATGATGGGGAGCTGTTGTCGTTGGTTGGCTATCTAGCACATGGACAGTCAGACTTTGTCCCCAATTGTCAACTTCCATGATGTCTCCATGATGGGGAGCTGTTGTCGTTGGTTGGCTATCTAACACATGGACAGTCGTACTTTGTCCCCAATTGTCAACTTCCATGATGTCTCCATGATGGGGAGCTGTTGTCGTTGGTTGGCTATCTACCACATGGACAGTCAGACTTTGTCCCCAATTGTCAACTTCCATGATGTCTCCATGATGGGGAGCTGCTGTCGTTGGTTGGCTATCTACCACATGGACAGTCGTACTTTGTCCCCAATTGTCAACTTCCATGATGTCTCCATGATGGGGAGCTGTTGTCGTTGGTTGGCTATCCACCACATGGACAGTCAGACTTTGTCCCCAATTGTCAACTTCCATGATGTCTCCATGATGGGGAGCTGCTGTCGTTGGTTGGCTATCTACCACATGGACAGTCGTACTTTGTCCCCAATTGTCAACTTCCATGATGTCTCCATGATGGGGAGCTGTTGTCGTTGGTTGGCTATCTACCACATGGACAGTCGTACTTTGTCCCCAATTGTCAACTTCCATGATGTCTCCATGATGGGGAGCTGCTGTCGTTGGTTGGCTATCTACCACATGGACAGTCGTACTTTGTCCCCAATTGTCAACTTCCATGATGTCTCCATGATGGGGAGCTGCTGTCGTTGGTTGGCTATCCACCACATGGACAGTCAGACTTTGTCCCCAATTGTCAACTTCCATGATGTCTCCATGATGGGGAGCTGCTGTCGTTGGTTGGCTATCTACCACATGGACAGTCGTACTTTGTCCCCAATTGTCAACTTCCATGATGTCTCCATGATGGGGAGCTGTTGTCGTTGGTTGGCTATCTACCACATGGACAGTCGTACTTTGTCCCCAATTGTCAACTTCCATGATGTCTCCATGATGGGGAGCTGTTGTCGTTGGTTGGCTATCTACCACATGGACAGTCGTACTTTGTCCCCAATTGTCAACTTCCATGATGTCTCCATGATGGGGAGCTGTTGTCGTTGGTTGGCTATCCACCACATGGACAGTCAGTACTTTGTCCCCAATTGTCAACTTCCATGATGTCTCCATGATGGGGAGCTGCTGTCGTTGGTTGGCTATCTACCACATGGACAGTCGTACTTTGTCCCCAATTGTCAACTTCCATGATGTCTCCATGATGGGGAGCTGTTGTCGTTGGTTGGCTATCTACCACATGGACAGTCGTACTTTGTCCCCAATTGTCAACTTCCATGATGTCTCCATGATGGGGAGCTGTTGTCGTTGGTTGGCTATCTACCACATGGACAGTCGTACTTTGTCCCCAATTGTCAACTTCCATGATGTCTCCATGATGGGGAGCTGTTGTCGTTGGTTGGCTATCCACCACATGGACAGTCGTACTTTGTCCCCAATTGTCAACTTCCATGATGTCTCCATGATGGGGAGCTGTTGTCGTTGGTTGGCTATCTACCACATGGACAGTCGTACTTTGTCCCCAATTGTCAACTTCCATGATGTCTCCATGATGGGGAGCTGTTGTCGTTGGTTGGCTATCTACCACATGGACAGTCGTACTTTGTCCCCAATTGTCAACTTCCATGATGTCTCCATGATGGGGAGCTGCTGTCGTTGGTTGGCTATCCTACCACATGGACAGTCGTACTTTGTCCCCAATTGTCAACTTCCATGATGTCTCCATGATGGGGAGCTGTTGTCGTTGGTTGGCTATCTACCACATGGACAGTCGTACTTTGTCCCCAATTGTCAACTTCCATGATGTCTCCATGATGGGGAGCTGTTGTCGTTGGTTGGCTATCTACCACATGGACAGTCGTACTTTGTCCCCAATTGTCAACTTCCATGATGTCTCCATGATGGGGAGCTGCTGTCGTTGGTTGGCTATCTACCACATGGACAGTCAGACTTTGTCCCCAATTGTCAACTTCCATGATGTCTCCATGATGGGGAGCTGCTGTCGTTGGTTGGCTATCTACCACATGGACAGTCGTACTTTGTCCCCAATTGTCAACTTCCATGATGTCTCCATGATGGGGAGCTGTTGTCGTTGGTTGGCTATCTACCACATGGGACAGTCAGACTTTGTCCCCAATTGTCAACTTCCATGATGTCTCCATGATGGGGAGCTGTTGTACGTTGGTTGGCTATCTACCACATGGACAGTCGTACTTTGTCCCCAATTGTCAACTTCCATGATGTCTCCATGATGGGGAGCTGCTGTCGTTGGTTGGCTATCTACCACATGGACAGTCGTACTTTGTCCCCAATTGTCAACTTCCATGATGTCTCCATGATGGGGAGCTGCTGTCGTTGGTTGGCTATCTACCACATGGACAGTCGAACTTTGTCCCCAATTGTCAACTTCCATGATGTCTCCATGATGGGGAGCTGCTGTCGTTGGTTGGCTATCTACCACATGGACAGTCAGTACTTTGTCCCCAATTGTCAACTTCCATGATGTCTCCATGATGGGGAGCTGCTGTCGTTGGTTGGCTATCTACCACATGGACAGTCAGACTTTGTCCCCAATTGTCAACTTCCATGATGTCTCCATGATGGGGAGCTGCTTGTCGTTGGTTGGCTATCTACCACATGGACAGTCAGACTTTGTCCCCAATTGTCAACTTCCATGATGTCTCCATGATGGGGAGCTGCTGTCGTTGGTTGGCTATCTACCACATGGACAGTCAGACTTTGTCCCCAATTGTCAACTTCCATGATGTCTCCATGATGGGGAGCTGCTGTCGTTGGTTGGCTATCTACCACATGGACAGTCAGACTTTGTCCCCAATTGTCAACTTCCATGATGTCTCCATGATGGGGAGCTGCTGTCGTTGGTTGGCTATCTACCACATGGACAGTCGTACTTTGTCCCCAATTGTCAACTTCCATGATGTCTCCATGATGGGAGCTGCTGTCGTTGGTTGGCTATCTACCACATGGACAGTCGTACTTTGTCCCCAATTGTCAACTTCCATGATGTCTCCATGATGGGGAGCTGCTGTCGTTGGTTGGCTATCTACCACATGGACAGTCGTACTTTGTCCCCAATTGTCAACTTCCATGATGTCTCCATGATGGGGAGCTGCTGTCGTTGGTTGGCTATCTACCACATGGACAGTCGTACTTTGTCCCCAATTGTCAACTTCCATGATGTCTCCATGATGGGGAGCTGCTGTCGTTGGTTGGCTATCTACCACATGGACAGTCGTACTTTGTCCCCAATTGTCAACTTCCATGATGTCTCCATGATGGGGAGCTGTTGTCGTTGGTTGGCTATCTACCACATGG